GGATGGATGGATGGATGGATGGATGGAAGAATGGATGGATGGGAAAATGGATTGGTAGGTATGTTTGTGACTTGTGGGACTTTAATGATTCTGTAGAGGGAGAGAAGGAGTGGATGGATAAACAGACGAATGGAATGAATGACAAGGATGAGATGCAAACAACATAGATCAGAGGTTAGATGGGCACTTCCAAGTCATCTACACTATTTCTTCCACTGAAAAATCAAAATCAACCTACCTCCAGTGCCTTGCCACAATATACAAAGCTCAGCACTGCTTCAAAATACTTGTGGGCTCTGGGAATGTTCTCTTTCTGTTAAACAAAAAATAAATAAAAGATTTAATATTATTGACTTATATTAGAAAACATATCTTGAAGTACTTCTTTCTTCATGCCAATTTCTCTCTTGACGACAAGCAATAAAAATGATATTAACAAAAAATGTTTGAAAACTTACATTAAATCTAATAAACATTAAACAGTGAAGGATTTGACAAACTTTTACTCACAATAGCATCAGCATGGTGTTTTACTCTCTTGGCTTCATGAAGGTAATAATCTGGTCCACGCAGTCTATAAATGAAAAAAATGTTTGTTATGCATTTTGTTACTGGTTTTTCAGCACATCAGAATAACGAAGAATACAGCTTTCTGCGAACTTTATTAGTTTAAAGATGTTGGACTGCATGCGACTGCTGGAGATGGGATTTCCCACCCTATACCCTATCCAGACAAAAAAGCCCTAAGGCCAGAAATACTGCTAAGGGGAAAAAAAGATGACAATCTATAGTTTTCTGTTACTTACACTTTTGGTTCAGGTTCATACAATTTAGAAATCCAAGAATCTTTCTGGATGTTATCGTTCTCTTGGCCACCACATAAACATGTTTCACTGTGCTCTACAGGTGACTTGATTTTCGTTCCATCCCATCCATTCATTTTATTGCAACTTTTTTCAAAGTCTCTATCCTTACTTCTTTCTCTTAATTTCTCTCGCTCTGACCTCTGCCCTTCACTGTCATGTCTTCTTCGCTTGCCGTTATTCCAATCACCATCTCTGCTTGGGCTTCGCTTTCTTCTGCTCTGTTCTCGGTCTAAACTACTGGTGCTGCTCGTACTGTTTCGCCGTCCTTCATGTCTTTCGCTTTCATTCCTTTTGGGGAAACAAATAAATTATCAGTACTCCTTCTTTGCCATACAAAATAATATCATTAAAACCGTGAACACTGTTACTGCAATTTTCATAAAACTGAAACTCGGTGTCTCCGAGTTGCACGGTGAAATTTGGTTTTTCGCTGCCGCCAGTCAAAAAGATGAAAGGGATGATTTACATTATGTGACAAAAAACTCAAGGTATTCATGGTTTGAGTGTCCTTCATGTAAAATCGATAATTAAACATCAAATTTTACTTGGCAAATGCATTTTTTTCACTGTGCACAGATTAATGATGTATGCTGTAAGCTAATTAGAAATATCACATGATACTATGATCAATGATTGTTACATTATTACGTGATTAGTAAAGTTAAGGGTTATGTACAATTATAATTATATTATGTACACTTTACCTTGAAGAAGCATTCTTAGTATCATTAGACTTGGACTTCTTAATTACACTATAAATAAGTTAATTGAAAGAATCTTAGCGGAAGCATTAACTGGGTTATACACTCATACACTTATATTTTACAACTACCACTCCCCATGCGGGGCTCTTCTGTGAGGTCCCCTCCACACGCACTACCACTACATACTATATTGGTTAGTACAAGCGCTAGCAGCAACATTTCTATTAGGTAACCTTAAATGACACTTGGTTTAGAATGGTAAATGTTGCCCGTTCCCCCACCCCCCTCCTCCCCATGGTTATTAAATTAACCTTCAGTCTAGACAGAGCAGAAAAACGACAAGCCTGCTACTTTAGCAATTTTTTTCTTTCTCTCTCATTCATGCTAAAAAACCTTTTAGTGTTTCATTCATGCCTCTTGTGCTTTAAACTTTTCACAACATTCTGCTAACCTTGAGCAATTCTACTTCGAGGTATTAGCGAAAATGTTAGTTTTTGTGCTGATCAAAATATCATCTCTCCCAAYGTTCAGGGCGTTATATCTCAAATACTAATTCCTTAAATTTCCCCAAATTTTGGTATTTTGTTAATCAGCCCCAAAAGAGCCTGTTTATGAAATATAAAGCTTATTAACGCATAAATGTCGAAAGTAGAACCCGTTTTTCTGCCCTGTCTTCAGTCTATTGGTTCCTGTCAACCATCTACTATCAAGAAAATTTGCACACCTCCAGCTAGAGAGCTTGCAATTTCAATTTTAAATTATGACAGGATTGCATGTTTTTCCCATTGCTCTTCCAAGTGTTAAAATATAACTTACCCATTCAACTCTGGTTCAGCTTTAATCTTTTTGCTTTCACTACACTCAACAGACAAATGATGTTTTACAGCTTTTCTTGCTGGACTTAAACCATTCTGATGTTCTTCGTTTAACATTTCAGTATTTCCTAATTTAATCTAAGATTTAAAGTTAACAAAAAAAAAGTAAGATTTATAAAAAGATCTCAATAACTTAACTGTATGAATAAATAAACCAATGAGTTAATTGAAGCTTCTGAATTAGTTATTCAGCAACTCAGAATTAGCCTTATAACAAAATGTCATAGATGTTAAATATATGAAGAGAAAACAATTCAGTTTGGTCATGAAATGACTTATCTTTCAGTTTTTAAGCGTCTTTATTCGTCACTTCATTGGAACGACTCTTCAAAAGTATCCATTCAAACCCAGCCCCATGTATTTATCTCTTTCACTTTGATTGCACAAGAAATCCCCCCCTCCCCCCAGGGTTATTACATGCATTAAAGTAATTACTCACGGCAAAAGTATCTGATCCATTCAGATGAGGAATCCTTCTGAGCAGTGCCAGTGGTATCTTTACGACTAATTCACCAGGTTTAGAGTTACAATCTAGAGTAATTTCATCTATACTAAGTCCATTTTTGGGTGACATATTATTAGGAGACATCTTTCCATTGCTAGGTTCTTTTCGTCCATTAAGTGTCTTTTCCAAGGAAGTCTTGTTCTTGACAATATTAGGATTTGATGATTTGGATGAATTATTATTCTTAGGATTATCTGAGGTTTTGCTTTGACTTATTGAGGATTCTGTTCTATTTGTAAATGGTTTATCATTACTAACAGTGACTACATCGATTTCTTCATTCTCACCATCACTTGATTTGGTTGGCGTTTCAGTGGATCCATTCAAAGTTGGCTTGGAGGAATTTTTCTTTACCTTGGAAGATTTCTTTTCTCCTAATGATTTGTCAGTTTTTATGGTTTTTGAGTCAATTTTATTTGAATTAACTAGACTTTTGTTACTATTAGAAATATTATCTTTGGACTTTAACTTCACAGCATCAGAAATCTTTTTACTTTTTACATTTTGTTTCACGGCTTTATCTTGTTTTTCTTTTTCCGGCTTTTCCTTGACAGCTTTCGATCCTGAATCTCCTCCATGTTTGATCTTTTTCTCAAGTTTCTTGGAAGAGTTAGAAGTTTTATTCAATTCCTTATCATTGAGCTTATTGTCCTTTACCTTTGGTAGATTGTCTTTGTCTTGAGGCAAATGGCTTATGAGATATTTATCAGATTTCTCAGGTTCTAAGGATTGTGAATTATTGAGACCATTTGACAGTATGTCATCCAAACAACTGGTATTAGTGCCATTGATCCCAAAAACTGTGCCCAACAGATCCTTCGAAAGATCTGGAAGTTCTGGGAGTGGATCAAAGCAGTGCATGTCATCATCAAACAGACTATCAGTTATTTCCTTATCAAGTACTGATACAGCCTTGGTGTTCAGTGAGTTGCTGTTTAATGGACTTGAATTAGCAGCTGGAGCGACCTGGTCTCCACGGAGACCATCTCCACCAATCGTGCTGTTAAGTGTGAGAGAGGTAGTAGTAGATGCAGAAGCAGTGGTTGTAGGAAGAATTTTCTTGGTGTGAGACTTCTCAGGATGATTAAGACCACCTTTGGAAGGCTTGTTTAACTGCACAAATATATAAAAAAACATGATTAAAAGGCTTTTCTAAACGCATGCAAAGATGATTAATTTTAAATGACTGTATGTAATTGTTGTTTTGGTCTTAAAGAGCGAAGGTAATTTATCATGTAGTTTCAAAGGTTTCCAAAACTCACAAAACAGAAAGATAATTGTCATTAAATAGCTGGAGAGAGCATTTCAAAGTTAGTACATTTGTGAATTTTCAAAAAGTGAAAATTTGTATTAAAACCTTTGTTGGTATAAAGATTAGAGCATTTTCTTCCAGCATTTTCCAGCTACTTACAACATTCAACAATCACATCTTCACAAGTTTTGAACTTATTCTAATTTTATTTGAACTTATTTCATTCAAACTTCACCATTGTACTAATTTGAACATTCTTTGGTAATTCTTTCTTTTTTACGGTTTACTTATTTAAAGAAAGCTCATTAATTACAAGACTATACTCATACTTCCAGCTCACCTCTGATGATTTTGAACGTACAGGACTGTTAGGAGGTGAATTATCACTATCACTTGAATCACTGTCACTATCACTGCTATCAGAATCACTGTCTTCACTACTGCTTCCATGATCCTAAAAACAACAAAAACAATCAGATATCTGCTGCATCTTATTGCTGTATCATCGAAGTAGTCCATTAAAAAGAGGACCTGGCCATAAATTGTTATAGGCTTTGCAATATCATTGCTTTCTGTGCTAAGTAAAAAATAGTAATCTGTTTGTGTAAATTTATCTAATAAACATTACTTCAAAGTCAAAACTCATCATCAAATTTTATTGTCCTTGAAACAATCTCTAGGTTAATCAAACTTAGTACACTGTTGACTCAGAGAATGAATAGGAATTTATGTTGTTAGGCTTTGCAGATGGAGGAAAATAGGAGAACCTGGAGAAAAATGAATCCAAACCCAAGGTCTTCGAGGTGAGATGGGAGTGCATTACCGCTACACCAGCATTGATTAATGAGTAACATAATATATAGGAGTGAACTATTATCTTTTCAGCTAGGGTTACAGTTGACAATTGATTTCAACCTATTACCTCATCATCTGACATTTCAAGGTCATCTTCTAAAAGACTTGTTAATTCTTCCTCATGTTCTGAATAACAATATATTATAATCAATCAAAAAGACATCTTTAAATTTCAGGTCATAAATATCCAGGCATCTGTGTACAAAATCTTGTACAAAATCTTGTACTTACTGTGGCCGTTATGGTGTCCAGTGGAGTTATTGCTGTCATGCTAAAAGGTAGGAAAAAAAATACTTATACTGAGATCTATGCTGGTGAACAAAATTAAAAGTACAGTAACAAAGATTTAAAAAAATAGAAAAGCAAGATAACTGAGAAAACGAAGAGAAGAGAAAAGTGTATGATATATATAATGGGATAATTGGAAACAAAGTGGGAGAAAGAATGAAAAGAAAAAATGAAAAATGGGAAAGGAAAATGAAAATGAAAAGTGGGCAAGAAAAGAGAAGAGGAAAAGGTTGTTTGATGAGATGCTGAAGACTGGCAAAACAAATACATAGAGAGAACATACAACAGGTAATAAAAACAGAGAAGGATATATTTTAGTATTTAAGCAGTAAAAAAGAATTACCGGTAACAATGATGAAGCAGCTAGAGGGAAAGCAAATTTTTCATTGCTTTTGAGAGGAGTATGGATGGCCGTAATTGGAGGAGCAACAGGCTGGGTCATCTCCTAAAATATTGTCAGTAAAACTTCATTACAAAAATAAGATCACAATATGATATTGAAATATGACTGTTTTAAATGCACTAGATAAAGTGTTATTTAAAAGGAAACTATGCACTACTAAGCTGGGTTAATTACATAAAAATTAGTACAATCCTAGCTATTTTTCAATAGATTTACTTCTAAATCATAAAGCATTTTTCTTTTAAAAATCTCAGTCTTTGAACAAATAAGGGGCTTAATTTGTTGACTTTTTATATTTTTTCATATTGTTTTTGTATTCATTGATTATAGGAGTCAATATTGCTAGTAGATATAAGTCATGTAAAAATAAAAACATATATTTCTTCTTTGACTCCTAAGTTGACGTCATAGATCTACATATTAAAACACACAGAAAAGCATCTTTGTGCCAAAATAAAAGACATTTAGCAGCATGTAGATATATTTGATGAATTCAATAGTCTAGAAGGATCTAAAGACAAACACATTCTCCCCCTAACACACAAACAGAAGGAAAAAACATTTAGATATAACTAAAATAAGGGATTTTTATTATCATGAATGTAACTTTTTTTAGTACAAAATTTACTAAATCATAAAAAAATTTCTGTCTTCGAAACTATATGAATATATTCATAAATAATGAAAATATTATTGAAACACAAATAAGAATAAAGGATTTAAATTTTATATTGAATTTCTTATGAATAAAATAAGGTTGATCATTTATAGAAATGGTAATTTAAATTTGTTATGATCATGATTTCTAAAGAAAAAAGCCATGTGGGATTATTTCAACCATTTACTAATACATTGAAATTGTTTTCCGAATGAATTTTCTAAATATGATCTACTTGAAACCAAGTTTGAAAAGAAAATTCATGTTGTATACAAGCATGTATAACCCTGTCATTACACGAAAAATACTGAATCTTGTAGAGTCAAAGAATGAACATCCAAGTAAGGAGGTTTAAAATCATATTTTCATATTTTTAAGTGCATTGAATGTACACCTTTCACAGTGTATACAAATAAATAAATTTAGGAAGGAATGAAAGTCAAAATTTATGAAATTCTACTGAATATTTTACCTCCAAGATTTTCTCAACGCGGTTAGTATCTCCACTCAGGTTGGCACCCTTTACCAAAAAAAAAAAAGGAAAATAGGTTAATGCCATGAATAATGGAATCAACAGAGTTTTAACACTGAAATGAGAAAATATAGATTAGCATTACTAGAAGTGCAGTTACAGTTATAGATAGTCACTTTTGAAGATAGTCAGAGTAAAAGAAATTAAATTACATCTACTAATCTTATATTTTCATCCATCTAGGATACTGAAATCACTATTAAAATACAAGATACCCAACATTTTGCTTTCATCAATTACAAAGCTTTTCTCTATTCTACATTCACAATAGCAGTTATGTTACAGCAACTACGACACTAGGTAGCAAGCTTAAGTGCTCTATTAATAACTACATAGTCAGGGAATGATCTTGAAATAAAAGTTAAATGATAAAAATTCTTTTGATGTTGTAAGAAGTCATGTCATAATGAGAACAAAAAGGTCAAAAAGAAAGTAGTTTGTTAGAAAATGTTTTATGGTAGTCTAAGGATTCTTATTCTCACACCAAACCTAAGGAAAGATAACCAAACAGTTGTGATCAAAGATTAGGCTACTTTGAATAAATAAAGCAAAATATTACCATCCAAAGAGAGAGAAGTTGTGAAGTCTGTAAACTGTATTCTTGATAACGCAATTACAAGCATGATTATTATAATGCATTCATTATTGAAAGAGAGGGCACACACAGTCAGGCAATCATTTCAAACACCTGTACGAATATATTTGAATATACATATAGCTTGGTTGATTGGGTGAAATGAAACCAAATGTACTTCAAATATTAAACTATCCATTGAGTTGAAGAATCAATACTATCTTGACACAGAAACCCACATATTATATCATAGTAAAAAAAATTAACAAACTGGCTTTCTTTTTTTCATTTGTTGCTCAAAATTAACACTACTTTATCTAGGGGCACTTATAATTTATTTCCTCAGGCCTGAAGATAATAAGAAAATAATTCTCTCTCAGATATTGAAGATACACAACATGAACCTGTATATAAGATTAAAACAAAAGTAGCATTAAATACTATATTCTCCACCTACAGAAATAATAAATTAATTGTGCTGTGAGAAAATTATTCAAGTGTAGTTTTTATCAGAAAATTAGAATTATTTGCATACTGAATATAAATTTCAAAGAAAATTTTAAAATATTTAGTAAGATACCCAAAATGAACATGTATATAAGATTAAAATAACTGTAGTATTACACTATAATATTCTACAGAAATAATAAATCAAATGTGCTGTGGGAAAAATATTCAAGTGTAGTTTTTATCAGAAAATTAGGATTATTTGCATACTGAATATAAATTTCAAAGAAAATTTTAAAATATTTAGTAAGATACCCAAAATGAACATGTATATAAGATTAAAATAACTGTAGTATTACACTATAATATTCAGAAATATTAAATCAAATATACTGTGGGAAAAATATTCAATTGTAGTTTTTATCAGAAATTTAGGATTATTTGCATATTGAATATAAATTTCAAAGGTTTCTACAAACCAGACCAATATTATTAATCATTCTAGGTAAACTATCTTGTTAAAGGCAGCAAAAAATAAAAAATAAAATAAAATAAAAGAATTTTGTTAAAAAAATAGATTAAGATAAATAGATGAATTTACAGTAGAATTTCAATTGATTTATTGATCGTTGTTTTTGAACTGAGCCCCTAAAAAGGTACAAATATTACTACTAGGTATAGATAATTTAAAAAGGTAAATTAAAGAAGATATTATTATCATTATTATTACATAGTCATAACTCTCAAGGTTGATTTTGCTACCTTACAATAATGTATTGAAGCCATATTTTAGAAATTTCAATAACACAGTCCATTTTCATAGCTTGGTTTRTATAACTTTTAAGAGTTTCTTTGTCATGTAAATTTGTTGAACATACAGGTGGCATAATAAAAAAAAAAGATTATAGATCAAGTGGAGAAAGAGGAAGGACAGAGATAGAGATATAGGCACATAGGGTGGGGTTTAGAAAACTAAAGAATAAATGAAAATAAATGAAATAATATTGATTAAATAGTAAAAGGTTTTTCAGGACAAATTTTTCATGGAATTATATTTTATTTGAATATATAGCAAAATAATAATAATAATAAATGTAAATGTAATTCATATCACTGGTTTCCCATTTCATTCTCATTTCTTTCCAAAATTCATTTTTGTCCAATTTTCTCCATATATCTTTATATGTATCTGGCAAAAATAGGGGGAGAATATTTTGAAAAATAAGACTAAAAGGAAATAGCTTTGTCTAACATCAATTAACTTTGCCTGTCTAACATCAAATAACTTTGCCTGTCTAACACCAAATAACTTTGCCTGTCTAACACCAAATAACTTTGGAATTAACAATGCTCTTAGAATTAAAATTTATCTTATTTGTGAAATCAATATAGTAAACACATTATTACCACAAAATATAAATTATATATACAAGCTTGTAATCTTCTAGATAATACAATAAGAATATAATCAATATTGCAATGAAAGAGTTAACTGTCTGATCACCAAAATGGCTGGAGCTGGTGTATCGAAAACTGTTTTGTATCTCAACATGATAGGCACATTAGAAAACAGAAACAACAGAAAAAAGAAAATAATAGGGATAGATTGAATAGCAGTTGGTAGGCTTTTCTTCTTAATAATTTATTTCATTTATCTTTTTTCTTTCGTATATAAATTTTATTTACATATATTATAATATTATTATTAATTATAATTTCTTATTTTCTTCAGCATTTTTCCATATATTTTTCTATATATATATATTTATACACCAAATTGCAATTACATTGTCAACCCTAATATTATTATTAAACTTTTTGGAAAAAAATCTTACAAAAATTACAAAAACCACCACTTTTGCTTCCAGGTCTCAGTTTAGAAAACAAACAAAAATAGTTAATAAATGTAAAAAATAAAACCTCAAAATATGTGTGAACAGGTAAATATGTTATTGTAGGCTGAAAGAAAAGTGTTTAGACGGTCTTTGATAAATTATTGCCACAAAGTTGGGCCCACAAAGTTTTACAAACAAGCAGGTCTGCTGTCTGGAGGTCATCGAAGGTGACGGGGGTGTTCAACAAAACTGTACACTGTTAACAAAACCCTAACAACAACAAGTTATTGCCCAAAAAGAAAATTAGAATGTTGTTCTATTGAATACAAAGTTAAAAACATTAAAACTGTAAGAAACAACTGATCATGATAAACACTTAAAATTATAAGAAATAAAGCATCTGTTAATCCTAAAAACACTGCAATATCATAGAATGAGACGTTAATTCAAGGAGATGGTTTTTTAAGCCTTTTGAAATACTTATACTTGACGGCTTATATACTTGAATAAGATAATAATTTTAGTTAGTATTTATTATCTTAATACTCTAGATAGGAGTGCGTAGCTGGGGTAGGATCTGAAGGACATGAAACTACTCCTTTACACAGCTRCCCCCTGCCAGTCTAGGGGTTAAGAGTTCAAATCCAGTTAATAACTTCCGAGCTGAAAAACTTATTTAAGTTCAATATCTCTATATCTGTATGGGTAACTATAACAGTCATGTTACAAAATTTAGAGTTTAAATGTAGTTTAATGATAAAAATCTGAGCTGGAAAGCTAATTTAAGTTTAACATCCCTAAAGATCTTTCTTTGGAACTTTAAATGGAAGCAGTTGTGTTACTCTATTAATATTTAATATTGAACAATATATTTCTGTTGCTCAATTCTCTTTTTTTGTGTTTCTCACATTTCACTTTATCTTTTGGGGCAAAAGTATTAAAAATCAAATCAAACTGATTGTTCTGCTTTTTATCAAATAAAAGCACTTGGATTTTATCACTGCACCAAACGAATGAAAACAAGCTATGCGTACACATATTATCGACAAGAACAAAATGTAACTAAACATGTCACAACTTGCACTAAATTCACGACACTTCCAGCTCATTATATTTATACATTGGATGTGAAATAACATCAATAATCTCATATTCTACTTCACAAGATCCTGACCTTGATTTTTAGATCTTCTAGCTAGGCCAAGAGTATCGAATATACAAGAAAAGTCGTAAACAAGTTATCTGAAATTTAAATCTAAAAATGGTGCTATTGACCCTGCAATAAAAACAGCTTAAAAGTAGACAGGAAGTCTGTTGTGGATAACAAGATCTACAATACATGTGTGGCACTTTGCCCTTATTATACCAAGTGGTATTGAAATGTCAAATTTTTGATCAATCACAAGTTATGACAAATAGATATCCTAGAAACAATATAATAGCCTTGACACGATTTTAAATGATTTTTTTAGAATATATATATATATATTACTATTCAGTACTATGACTATAGTATTTAAATGTTATTTAACTATGATTAATCTATTATTTTAGGCATAGCATATAATCTGTATAATAATGAATATGATAATACCAAAAATAGTTTACATTTGACCAACATATAAATCTTTACAAAACCTAATATATTCAAGTTCAGGATTAATTATTGATTTTAAGATATGCTTTCTTAATCCCAGTTATTCATCTAATTATCAATAATGCAATACATTTGTGTGTGGTTAAACCATTCATTATTAATAAGTACTGTATTTTATGAATAAATGGACACTCGAATATATTTTGCTTAACAAAAACTTTGGATTATTTATAAAATGTATGATGGATTGCACAAAGACAGCTAGTAGCTATAATGAAAGCTATGAGTTTTAGATACGCAGAGCCAAAAATAACAACCGATTATTCATCAGTCATTCACCAGACAAATAGGTTTTAGCTCGGCCTTACCTTGTTTCTAGCTAAACATTACTTGTCAAATGACTAGCAAGGCAAAGATTTCACTGGACAAGTTCCAATTCTTGTGGGACATTTCCAATGACTGGTCGTTATTTTAAGCCCTGATGTGTGACTGGGTGACTGAAGTGCTACATGAAACCTTATTAAACATTCAAACTATAGTTTACCCCTATCACAGATTTTAAAATGTACAGTCTTCCTTAAACATAACTCAAAAAAAAAAAAACTTACCTCTGTTGTGGTTTCTGCCGAAGTTCTGGGAACAAGAAAGAAACAGTTTTTATGAGATTTCAAACAACAAAGTCACGTCGCCCAGAATTCACAAATGAAGTTCACAAGTCTGAACATGTATAGGACTTGGTTAAGACTGAACAAACTAGTCTTATACATGACCAAGAAAAGATTAGACTGATCTTACAAAAAGAATCCACTATTGTGAAATTCTTATTCAGATATCATGAAGATTTCGATAAGTACATTAAAATGCATTTAGTTAATATACGTCATAGGCATAATATTAGAGGAACTACGCAGTGGGCTGCACCTTCCAAAAACATGGCGAAAACTTATAGATATCATTAACCAAGGGTTAAAGGTCAATAAAAACCTAAACCACTGGCAGTGTCAGAATAGAAGCACCAAATGTAGAGCAATTTCTAGGTTTGGGAATAACAGGCAGCAAAAAACTTTTTATCAAGGCCTTCCTATCCAATGCTGTGACTCTCATTTCCTCTGGACTTGATTGTACATATAGATGGTAGATGGTACAGATTCCATATATATCCATATAAAACAATCCATTTTATATTCAATACCTCTACACTGCAATACTGGTAGTCAACAAAATGAAGTTTGTCTTCTATTAATATTAAGGCTTTTTTTTTTTCATTTCTGAGATTCATTTTGACACCCTTCCTTGGTTTAAGGGTGTGTATATCGGGTCATGTGGCATTATATCCCCCCATTAACCAACAATCTACCGACACCTTACTGACACTCTGCGAACACCCTACTGACAAACTCCTGCCAAACATCACCAATACCTTACCAACACCAAATCAATGTTCATAACAACTATTGCCATGCCAACTAAAATTCAAAGAGCTACCTTACCTAGCATTGATGGAAAGTTTTGGTGGTTTTGGTTTGCTTGTAAAGTCTTTTGATTCTTTCTTTGTGGATTTATGCATTTTGGCATCTCCTCTGTCATCAAGCCGTTTTTGATGTTCAGATTTATTTATTTCATTTGATATTGGTTTTATTTCCTTTTTCACACTTGAAGATGATTTTGGTTTTGCTTCATCCATAAACAATGCTTTTACTGCATGAGATCCCTTATTTTCTGTTTCCATGGTTCCCATTTTTTTGCTAGCTCCAGAAGACTTTGTTGAAGGTTTCGAATCCGATTCAACACTTTTAGGTTTTTCTTCTAGTGAGTTGGGTTTAGTTTTATGGTGGTGTACAGTTGACAAGGTTTTCTGACTTTTTGAGGATGTGTTCTCGTTTCCATGTTCTTTCTTGTTACTTGTGCTGTTAGCGTTGTCAAAGCTAAAAACTTTGTTGCCACTCTCAACAGGTGTTTGAGGAACTTTTGGAATGATACCAAGAAGAGAGTACTGCTGTTTTTGATTGAGGGATGGAGCCAAGACTTCAAAGTCCCCAAGAGCAGCCTGAAAGTATTAAAACTTGTTAATAACTTCAAATGAAATTTAAGATGCATTACTGCAATGTTTTCATTCCTATGAGTGAATCGTGACAACAGTCGCGACAGGGGAATCATAATCAAATAGACAATATTGTCAATATTGTACCATTTGTAGATGCTCGGTTATTTTATGCCCCGAGTGTTGGTCTAGCCGAAGCGTTGAACCATGACCTCCTGCACAACAACTGAGCTAGCCGGGTGGTGGTATAAGGATCAATGCCAGATCAAATTGAATTTTGAGATGTTTTTATAGAGGGAGAAAACAAGAGAAACCTTGAAAAAAACCTCGAAGCACAGAACAGATGATCTGTTCTATAATAATCATACCTGGATCGAGTGTTGTAAGGTGTCCTCCTTTGATGGTGGAATCTATAAATGAAATAATAAAATAAATATTTTTATTTACATGTGTAAGATAAAATTCTAAATTCTAACTTTGGGAGGGAGAGAATACATCTATCAACTCAAATCACAACAGACCCCTTGCCAAAATGCCAGCCGAAAATTGAAATGCATTAAATTAAAAAAACAATACCAGATTTGGAAAGAAAACCTTTACTTCAGTAACCCTACAAAGATTCATTATGTCAGGTGGTATATCGGCCAAGAAAACGTTATTTGAAAATTGACAAATTTACAGACATTTGTATGTCTGGGGGTATTCATACAATCATATATGTATACAGAAAATTCTGGGGTAGTGGAATATGAGCAAAAGTTAAAAATCATTTTCCAAAGTGAAATTATTAATATGAGAACATGCTGAAGGATGAAATTAATATCTAATATGCCGTACATGCAAGCTGCTTGTATAAATTTACCTTTATAGGCTGTGAGAAAAGATGAGCAGGGTGAGAGTTCTGAGAAACAAAGGAAATATAATTTACATAAGCAATAGATTTAATTATTCCCTTCAATGAATAGAAACTAAAATGAAAAGTTAATTAATGCAATGATACATTTTTCAGAAGGATTTAGGCTACCTTAGATGAAATATGCTGAAAAAATCAATTAATGATTTGGTGTTGGCAAATTTATATTGAACTGGCAAACTAAATCTTTGTTTTAAATGGAAAATTTGGTTGAATTCGAGAGCAATATTTTTGATAGATGATTATTTCCTCGTGGAAATAAATTTGAAGCTTTACTTGAAAATGACTGAAGCCCATAGAAAAGTCTTGAAGTACTGTAATTAACCAAGTAAATGTGGTATTAGGAATGAAAAATCCCTTTACCATGGCTTTAAAATGTGGCTTATCAAGAATGATTTTAATGCAGGAAGACATGATTCTGAAGTGGGGTATTAGGTTGGCGATAAAGGTCATTACCATGGTAATCATAAAAAGGATGTATAATCCAAAGCAATTACTAACCGATTCAACATTTCGCAACTGCTGTGCTCTTCTTTCTTTCTCAGCTTCTCTTTCTCGTTCATGAATTGAAATTCCATGAAGTCTGCAAGGTTAAATAAAAATTAAGAATTTAAGAATGTTGTTTACTTTTACATAGCTCCAATTAAAGCATCAAAAATTATCTTACTAGACAACAACTAAGCAAAAAATCCCCTGTTAGATTTTTTTACAAAAAAGCAAAGTTTTTCCAGTCGACAGTTTTTAATATTCTAAAACCATAATTATTTTTTTTCAAATTGAGAACCAATAGTATAGAGTTTTGAATTCAGATTCAAATTCAGAATATTAAAATATAATTTTAATTTATTTTTATAAACCTAAATAGGCAAACAAAATTATCATACAAACTCATGTTTATCTTATATATAAATTTAAATTAAAACTGAATGAAAAACCTTTTTCTTCTGCATCTTTCTTCGAAGACACTATGTTACACAAATTTCAACATTGATTAACTAAATAGCCAAAGCTATTCATGAAAAATTCAGAAATTCTTCTTTTTAAAGTAATAATGTTTATCATCTAAATATCGTATTGGAAATAAATGCCTAGCAATAAAGCAGTATCCATGGATTTCAAAGATATTAGTGTGTTTCGTATCAAAGACTGGTATTTGCGACTGAAATTTTTCATCTGTATTCATAATATCTATGTAGCAGTTTCAAAGTTTTTAAAGCAAATTTTACCAATCTTTAATTTGATTGCAAGGTTGTTAGTTAGTTATTCATTTAGAGTCTTACAACTAAGTGTTTATCAGAATCCATGTTATCCGCATTGGATTATTCTATCACATTTTGGCTAATTTTTCATAATATAATACCAGCATCTTTCAAATAAAGGGCTGTAAAGATTCTCCAAAAATATATCTGAAGGTTGAAGAATGGTTGTTAGGTTACGAAGTGCAAAGTCATAGCAATAATCAAGACAGCTTAATACATACTTCTATGCATATTTTGTTTAGCACTAGCTGAAAAATACATAAATAATCCAAAATCTATTCTATTTAAATACAAGCTAATTTTTAATTTTTATTTAAAACATTTTAAATTTCTAATAATCTAATTTTTGGAGTTAAGGATTAAATAATGTATTCATTTGTTGGATGGCAAGAATTGGTGACTTGAAAGCTATTTTTTACCACATTTGTGAATTTGCTCGCAAAGTTTTTATTAAACCAATAAATTAATTACGTCAGCAAATCAAGCTTGCTTGAAACTGTTTTTATTAATTTTCAAAATTTACCCTCATTTTCGTAGGAAAAACGTGACCGTCC